AAATCTAATTTCAGATCAACAATGGCTCAACAGAGATTGAATGGATTAGCTATATTATCAATTGAAAATGAATTATTTAAAATAAATTGATTATAAAATAGTAACTAATGACTTTGCATCTAAAAAAACTCGAAAAGTATATTTTAAATAAAAGTATATATGATGAAAAAAACAAAATATTAGGGTCCCTCTCTTAAGTTTCGCTTTAGGCCCCCAATCTTGTCGAGTCGGCCCTGCACTGAGTCATCAACCACTTTTTATAGGGGTTCACAAATTAATATACATATATATTTATTTAATTTTCTAGTACAAATACAAAATTTACGAAAAAATTACTGAATTTATCCGAACTCACAAATCCCCTGCACCTAGCTCCACCCCTGGCTGCAACTACGTACTATACTATTGAACTAGATTCATCTTCCTCCACATATTTACGTTTTTTTTTTTTTGTGGTATGAAAAGATATTGCATTTATATTAGTTAAATTTTAGTACAGGGAACATTGGTCATTGCCCTGTCGAGAACCTGTGGGTCAGAGTTACACAAAAAGGTGGGAAGTGGCAGATACAAAACTAGAGATCGACCAAGTTATATGCTATTTTAACGTTGTTATTACAATTTGAACACAAACTACAAGGTCAGGGGAACAACTGTTTCCTTGCAAGGTCTCAATTTAGAAAAAGCACCAATAAAGAGCAAATAGGTATAGTTTTCACATGTTTAATGTACTAACCACTTCCATTGGACAAAGGTGACATCTCCAAATGCTAATGCTTATTCTTTCTTTGTTAGAAATGAGCATGTGACATCACCTTCAAAAACAACCTATTGACGGTCCAATTTTTGAATAGGCTCAGGTCCAAACCAACAGAAGAGGAATTGCTACTTATTACACTGTCTACAACTCACTTTCATGTATTATATGCATTGCATCATTTCCACTCAACACAATTGCAGATAAGTTGGCCACTAATATTAATTACAATTTTAGCACTAACAGTAATTAGCTAGGGAATGCTAGGTTGAGCTATGTTTAGGTGATCTATTCAAGCGAGCTTGACTATCTATATCTCATCTACAAGTTTAAATTGATAAAGAAATCACACTTTTATTCATTTAATTATACATATTATGTCTCAAATCATATGGAGTACTTAAATATGTGCTGGTTTAATTCTTTTTCATATATGAGCCAAATACGTGAAAAAAATAATTTAGTATCCTCTAATCATGTTGAATTATGTAGCGTCCAAATTAATCTAATAATTTAAGTTATTAAAGTGAAACATTTGCTACGTTAGGGTTGATTTCTTAGATCGATGGTCACTCTATTCTATTATCTCAAAAAATGATCAACTTTCTTCTTGATTTCAATTTTTTATACAAAGGAAGTGACTTTAATTATGAGATTCAAACTATTAGTTGAGTAACTATATGAGAAATCAACCTATGACCAGTGTCCCTGACTTGTTGGATTTGGTGGTTTTTCTTAGCACCCATTGTGATCACCTCTGTACCCCGAAATAGATATGACCTGCTATATCCGTGCTTAACCTGTGGTTTTGCCAATATCAATCACGAGTAACTCTCAGTGTGATCACCCCTAACCTAATTATTAAAACTGCTAATCCTTATGATCAAACAAGAATTATCTTCGTATTTCTTGAGCAATATAATATACGATCTCAACCAATAACTTCTTTTGGATCGTAATTCATACCTAGAAGCATTAAAGTGGTTTTAATAGATTATATCTCAATTTAACAAACTCTACCAAAAGATAAGGAAAAGGTATATATATATATATTATATCTTATTAGTTGAAAGGATCTAATCTCCAACTACTAGTACTAGAAAGAAACCAAAAGGAAGATAGTTCGTTAGGAATATAGAATAGTTATGAGATGTAGGAGATAAAAGAACATTATGGAGAGGTGGACCAATGAGAAGTAAATGGACCCAACATGGCTTGCTACTACCAAGACAAGATTAAGGGAAACGTTATAGAGTGGGGCACCTATGGTTTGTTACAATCAAGGCATATCCCCCCTCTAACATCGAGTGCTAATTAAAAAAGACAGCCTTTTTTTCTTTTCCATGTGCCCAAATTTATGTGCAAACTTCCAAAACCAAAAACCAATTCTTCCTCCCTCACCCCTCAGCCAGCTACCTCGCTCCTTTTCAACCAAAAACTAACTTCGAATAAAACCAAATTGAAACCTTTCTTTGTTCCTTTGTTTTTCATCATCATGATATGGAAATTGTCTCAAAATACCAATAATCACTATGAATGCATTTAAATTAATCGAAAAACAAGTTGAGATTATGTTTTTGAGATCATGTTGGTACATTTAGTTGAGATTAATTATGTTTTGATCATGTGTAGGTCTTATACGTCCTCTAGAGACTTCAATTTGTCCTAATTGAGATTTATTTGGCGGTAGAAAATATGCAGAACTTTCCTTATTCTAATACTCTACAACAACATATATAGTGCAACGTAACTCTATAGCTAGGTGAGGTATGGAGATATTAGAGTGTACGCATGCAAATCTTACCTTTACCTGGCCTATTGAGATAAAGAAGTTATTTTTTATAGATCCTAACTTGAGTAAACCATTTCAAAGCAGTTGGAAAAAAGGATGCAAAGTTAGAAATAGTAACAAGAATGAAAAAATGTGATCTGGAAAGCAATACTATTAATTTAGAAGGAAAAAAAAATGGTAACAATAAAATAATATGATAACCGCAACATAAGTAACACATGTGGTAACAAAAAATTGAAGAACAAAATACTACGAGAATTGTGTTGATACTAAGTACTGTATTTTATTGCGGGTTTCAAATGAGATTAAATGTAATAATTGATCAATCAAAATTAATTGGAATTGATACACGTAATAATTGTAGTTTCCTGTGAGTCTTATTAAATGAAACAATTGATCAATGAAAATTATTTAGAATTGATACACGTAATAATTGTAGTTTCCTGTGAGGCTTAAGTATTATAGACAAATTTAGAATTTGAAGTTCTTGTGTTTCTAGAGTAATCTCAAATTAATTTATAATAGTAATTGGGTTTATATAATCAGATATAAAATTGAGCAAAAGCTATTAAGTTCGCGAGAACTCGTACGTGAAGAGTTTAATCCGCCCGTCAGGCTTATAGCAGCATTGGCTCTATGGATTTTGGGGAGACAGGGAAGAAAAAAGGGTGTGATGCCTCAAACGTAAAAAAGGGATAAAACATAATGTTGCTAGAATTCATGAAGATTTTTTTTAATTTTTTTTGTTTCTCCGGTGTCCGGAGCTCACATTGAACCTATCAAATCCAGATTGCACACTGTAGGGTCCATTAAGGGTTGACGCTCCAAACAATATTTTCTCCATACCCAGGATTGAAACCCGAGAATTCTAATTAATGGTGAAATAGTTTTACCACTATACCACAACACTGATAAAAATTTATTTATCCTCGTGAAACTCTCGTATATATATATCCACATGAATGGTCCCGCATTTTGACTATAAATTGGATATTACCTCCATGTAACCCCACACTATACAATCCAAATTCCAAATTATATAAAAGTTCATGTATCAAGTGAAAGTGAACTGTATAGTAGTAGTAGATGTCAGTTGCTTTTGCGTGCATAAATGCAAATGATATCTCTTTTGATCAATAATTGTGATAGCTAGTATATTAGTAGTATATTTTTCTTGTTTACGGTACTTGAAACATTGCCTACTATTCTAGGAATAGGGTTCAAAACCTTAATTAATTAGGTAGGTAAAGAATTTATTCGAGGGATTATTTTTTATTGGTGATCAATAATATGTGGGGGATAATAGGTTAGGTCTAAAGTCATCGTAGTAGTTTCAATGAAATGAAATGAAAATGATTGAGAAATATATATATGTGGAGTACCCCTAGTTAATAATTGATTCATATTTCATATATATCTTCTTCCTTTTCTTTTTTTTGAAAATGAAATGATTCATGAAAGTTGTCTAGAGGCGCTACTGTATTACTAGCACGCATAAGGATGAAGAATCACATGATCCTTTCTGAAAATGCGGAACGTAACCCCCTATTGGCTATTGGAACTAGGGTCAATGCGTGCCCCTTGTTAACATTGCTTAAATTTGGGATTACATCCTAAATTGTTAAAACGGTTTGGACTAAATTTGAGCAGGTTTGATCATTACTCAACTCTTTTTCAAAAGTTAATTGAGCTTAAATAAATCGTTCGATTAAATTAAGATGATCTAAATAATCAGTCGTGCAAATCGCTCTAACTTTTACCAAATTTGATTTTCTCATTATCTATTTAACTATCATGTTAACTCAATTTTTAAAAATCTTCTTTAAATATAAATCAAATAAAAAATTTATTTAAGTACTTTTAAAAAAAAATCATAAATCAATTTGAACTGCATTTAGTTCACATTATCTTAAACGAGCCTATATGCACCCGGCTTCTCGCATGCGAATTGGGACAGGCATATTGTTTTAAGTTTGAATTTAAGTTATATACATTTTTAGTATAAGAAAATTTTATATTTTTAGATAATTTTTTGTTTAGTAAGCAATCTTTATAATTTCAAAATTTTACATATAAATATACTTTAAACGGTCTGATAGTATGTGTATATATATATATTTATATATTACGTACATGTATATAATTTGAATTCGATTACTTGTTTTTTTCCGTGTTTTATATTATTTGTTGTTATACTATTTTTTTCTCCACTTCTTCCAATGACATCTTAATTATTGTATTTCATTTTTATACTGTTTTTATATGCTTTAATTGAGTCAGGGGTCTATTGTGAACAACCTCCCTAACTTCGCTAGACATAGACACTACGTACTACCCTCACTAAACTCCATATATAACTTGACTAATTTTTTAATTAATTTGAAATATTGAGCTATAAAACCGGACAACCTCAATATTTCACCTTGTAGTCTTATAAACAAGAGAGACAAATTAAAGAGCTCTCTCTCTCTAGAGCCAGCCAAAAGAGGAGGCAATTGCTAGCTGATATGGAAGGATTTTGCTTTCAATGGTTATGTGTTATTGTATTTTCATATGTGTTACTGTTGTTTACACAGAAAGCGTTTGTTCATCTTTGGTGGACACCAAAAATAATTCAAAAACACTTCAAGAAGCAAGGAATCACTGGTCCTAAATATCATTTTCTCTTTGGTAACCTCAAAGAAATTGCAAGTTTCACTACTCCATCTTGGCCTTCCACTTTTACCTCTCATGACATTCTTCCCAATGTTCTCCCCTTCTACCATCATTGGAAGAAAATCTATGGTACGTACCTATTTTTTCAAATTTATATCGTCAGTATAAATAATATTTATCTGAAACATATCTACCGGAATATGTGAGATGTTTGTTTCAAACTTTAACGCCTCCTTTATCTCAACTTTTCTTTCCGTTTCTATCACTCTATGCATATTTTGGAAGCTAATTAACTAACTATTCACAATCCTTTGTTTGGTTCGATATATTCAAATTGGCTGAGTTGGGGAGTATTCACGCCAATAACGTTTTACGTTGTTTGTTTTCTAGCTTAAAATAGACTTTTGTCAAGTACTTGTCATCTTTTTAATTTAATTTTCTACTACTAACTTATTTTTGGTGTATATCAGGTTCAATATTTGTTATATGGTTTGGACCAACGGCTCGTGTCACCATTTCTGATCCAGCTTTAATTAGGGATATATTCGTTCTGAAATCAGATAATTTTGAGAAAAATGAGTCGCCCGCGCTTGTCAAGAAGCTTGAAGGTGATGGTTTGCTTAGTCTCAAAGGTGAAAAATGGGCTCACCATAGGAAGATTATTACTCCTACATTCTACATAGAAAATCTCAGGGTAAGTCTTAAATATCGACTAATAACTGAATTTTAACACTGTGGTTTTTTATTGTACTCGGAAAGGTTGATTTTTCTAATGATCACTCAACTATCATCTTTTTTGTTAAAGAAAATTGGAGTCAAGAAGAAAGGTGATTTTAAGATAATAACTATTAACTGAGTGATCATTTGAAAAATTAAACTCTATTTTTTAACTTATTGCTAATTCTACATTTATGTACAATCACCTCTATTTGTTTGCTATTTTTTTGGAATCTTTAAAAATATTGTTGAGGTTGTGTCAGTTCTTTCAAAAAGTAGAACATTTTTGAAAAATCGAAGCAATATCACTATTTATTTTATAGAAAAATTTCAACTCCTATTTATCTTTCATTTTCCTACATATAGCTAATGATTCCCATGATGGGAAAGAGCATGAAGGAGATGTTAGACAAATGGTCAAAAATGTCAAACGCCAGCGGAAAAGTAGAGATCGAAGTGTCAGAAATGTTCTCAACATTAGCAGAAGATGTCATTACGCGTATTGTGTTCGGAAACAGCTACGAAGATGGTAAAGCCATCTTTGAGTTACAAGCACAACAAATGGTTTATGCCACCGAAGCTTATCAAAAAGTATTCATCCCCGGATACAGGTCTATATCGTTAAATCTCTCTGTAATAATCATCCTCTATACCTATATATTGATTTTCCGTGTTATATCTCATGTTATTTATAAATATAGTAGTATAATCATATTAATGAATGAGAATAACGCGTTATGTATGATTTGGTAGTTAGTGGTTTGTGCAAGAATCTTGAATGTTTTTGTATTGTGTTGGACAGGTTTTTGCCTAGTAAAAAGAATAGAATATGTTGGAGATTGGATAAAGAAGTGCGTAAATCTTTGAGGAAGCTGATTGAAGAAAGGAGAAAAATAGATGAGGCGGTGTTGTCAGAAGAATGTCCGAATGATTTATTGGAAGTAATGATCAAAGCAGGTAGTGATGATGAATATAGAAATAATATCACAGTTAATGACATTGTCGAAGAATGCAAGACCATCTTCTTTGCAGGCAAACATACCACGTCTAATTTGCTCACGTGGACCACCATTTTACTCGCCATGCATCCTCAGTGGCAGGAATTAGCACGTGATGAAGTTTTAACTGTCTGTGGAGCACGTGATCCTCCATCTAAACACCAAATTTCCAAGCTTAAGACGGTATGTTATTAATTACTTTATTCACCGTAATTATCATTTTCTTAAACAACTAAACATTATTATGCATGTGGTATAAAGGCAAAAAGAACCGAACCAACTTTAATTTTGTTCTTCGATAACATAATAATACTCGATGCCTCGTAGGCATGGTGAATGTTTCTATCAGATAATTTTTCACTTTAATTTAGAGAAGCTTTTTATGTGTTTTGTCTTATATACTAAGAATCATTTAGCCTTTTAGTTTAAGAAGGGGAGTTTTATATCGACGTAACATATTATATATCCTTAACCACACCGATAGGGTAAAAATATTTATTATACACATGTATAGGATTGTAAGTAAAATTCTTACTTTAAATATTTATTACATGTAAAGAGTAAAGTAGAATTATCAAGTTTCACAATTTACTTAACTAGTAAATATCTCAAAAGATCCTTCAATTACGAAAAGTTATACATTCACGATCCTCCATAATTAAGTGCCCTTTCGAGATATTACTCTATACTTTGACTAATTTACACCTGTTTCACAAATTCTGTATGAATCCCTAGAGCTCCCTATATGATATATCCTATACGTATAATTTTACTTTTCAAAAGTTGAAGGTTACTAATCCATGCTAATTGTTACAAGCTGATACCACCGGTTCATAACTGCATGGACCTAACAATGTAAAAGAAAATTAACTGTATGTGTTTTGAATTAAATTAATTAAATGCATACTTTTTGTGTTATAATTTTCTATATCTTAACTAGTCTTATTAATACACTCATATTTAAAGTAGTACAACTTTTGATTTTGGCAGCTAGGAATGATAATTAACGAATCTGTCCGGCTATATCCACCAGCAGTGGCAGCAATCAGACGAGCCAAAGTTGATACACAATTAGGGGATTTCACATTACCTAGAGGGACTGAACTCCTTATACCAATCATAGCAATTCATCATGATCAAACACTATGGGGACAAGACGCTAACGAATTCAATCCAGCAAGATTTGGTCTAGGAGTGGCACAAGCAGCAAAACACCCCATGGCGTTCATGCCTTTTGGCCTCGGCGCCCGACGATGCGTTGGCCAAAATTTAGCAGTGTTACAAGCTAAATTAGCAATAGCTATGATCTTGCAGCGGTTTTCGTTTGATCTTTCTCCAAGTTACCAACATGCTCCTACTATTTTGATGCTCTTATGTCCACAATATGGTGCTCCTATTATATTCCAAAAGTTGTAGAGGTAGACATGCATCCTTATATATAATATATAGTATGTGCATGCTTGTACAAAACAAAATTTTCCAGATCAAAAATGTTTTGTGTCTACAATACAATTTCTTTTTTCTTAGTAAACTATAGTAGTCCAATTATTTTGCAATGTCAGAGTCTCAATGCCTCAATTAGTAGGCCCTAACCGTCCCACATATATATGGAACAACAAGAGAGCCCCTACCCTACTAGTATTTTGTAGAGCTATCAAAACGGGTCAATTCAGGCTAAGCCTATTAAGACGACTCTAAAATAGTATCTACCTTCAGTGGCGGAGCCAGAAATTTCATGAAGGGTGTCCAAGTGTTAAAGTGAACCCGCTCTTCTTAAAAAGTGAAAGAAAATTGTTACTACTTACTAGTGAGATTCGAACACACAAACACTTTAAGTTCGTGTGTCTTTACTCTTTCAAGGCGCTTGGAATCACTAGATTACATTATATTGTTGTCATAAGGGTGGCTATGCACTGTCTACCCCTCAATAGTCCCGATGATAGAAACATAAAAATTATATGGGGACTTGAATCTATGAAAAATATTGCAATGAAATGTTACAATAATTGAGTCCCGGCAAATAGGATAGATTTATTGACTTTTCTTGAACCTGACCAGAGAGCCCACTTATAATAGTTTAGCTTTCGTCTTTAACTTCGTCAACTTTAATCATTCATCTATTTTGTCTGAGAATCAAATTCTCATTAGCAACAAAAGGAAACAAATAATTTTTGCTAGACAAAAATGCGTAAATAAATTAAATTACGTGAATTACCAAAGCATTCCGAAATGTAGATGATAAATTCTGGAAATTTGAGGGTAAAATGCAGTTAAACTTACCTACATATAAATCAGAAAAATATAATATTTGTTTGATTTGTATAATTTGAAAATGGTAAAGTAAATTTTTTGAAGAATGGTATCCTCTGAAAATTTCCCATTAAACACAAAACTACTGGCCCAACCTAACCAAACCCAGTCCTAGCGGGCTGAAGACATCAACAGTCTAGCCCAGCTTAGCTCTTCATTTGAAAGGGACTAAAAATACAAGGCCCACTTATAAGTGGGCCTTAGGATGGCCCGAGGAATTGACACAGATAGACAAGTGCTACATACAATTGGCAACATATAGCCCACTATTAATTAGCAATTAATAAACAAATAAAAAATTGGCACATATTAGCCTAAAAGTAATATATCAACATTTTTTCAATTTTTTTTAATAATAAAAGATATTTAATATCATCTCTCTTCTAACTTCAAATCATTACTCCTTAAAACTAGCAAAAGATTATTTAGAATTATCTCTTCTTTCAAATTATTACGTGTTTTTAAAAATAATAAAAGAAAATTAATTTCATCTCTCTTCTAACTTCCAACCATTTCTCCTTAAAACTAGCAAAAAATATTCAAAACTCTCTCCTTTCAAATTATTTCGTATTTTTAAAAATAATAAAAGAAAATTAATGTCATCTCTATTCTATCTTCCAACCATTTTCACTTAAAACTAGCAAAGTACTGTCTAGAATTATATTTTTCTTAAAATTAGCAAATAATATTTTGATTATGATTATTCCTATTTCAAAGGTATTCCTATGAATTCATTACCTGCCAATTATTTTGCCTTTGAACTCAATCCATATTCATTTAACAAATTTGTATACATTTGTTTGCATTGGTATTCATTAATCTGTATTCATCTAATAGATTGACATACATTTATATTGGATACATTTGTTCGTATTCATAATAAATTGGTATACATTTATATTTATTTGCATTAATATCTTTCAAATTTTACATGGGTATACATTTGTATTGGATACATTCGTCCATATTCATTTATAAATTGGTTGCATTAATATCTTTCTAATTTTACATTTGTATTGGATACATTTGTTCTTATTCATAATAAATTGGTACACATTTATTTGCATTAATATCTTTCAAATTTACATTGGTATACATTTGTATTGGATACATTCGTTCATATTCATTTATAAATTGGTATACATTTGTTTGCATTAGTATCTTTCTAATTTTACATAGGTATACAATTGTTTGCATTACTATTTTGGGATGCAATCGACGAAATTCATTAACAAATTAGATAATTTTACATTGTTATATGTTCGTTTGTATTCATTAATAAATTTAGATGCATTTGTTGGAGACAAAATAAATATTCATTATCAAATTCAATCAACAAAATTCAATATTTCAAAAAATTGTCATAAATATATTAATTTATTATTTATTAAAAATTGAAAAAACGTCAATTCCAAAAATCACGAAACGTTGCAGTTTTTGGGAGAAGAAAAGTTGTAAAATTATAATACAAATACGGAAATTTGTAAAAAGAAAAAATCTTGCATTCAACTACAAGATAAAAAATGTAGAAATCTCAACTTTTTTTAAAAAATAACCCAGACAATCAATATAAAAAAAATTAGTATGATTTGAGTTACTTGTTGTGAAAAGTTGCTATTGTGATTGATCTTTAATGAAAATATTTCAAAGAAGAAGATAGAAATCCTAAACTTGAAAGAAGGAGAAAAAAAAAGGAAAGAAAGAAAGAATTGAAAAACACGTAAAAAAAAATTTGTTGACAAATTATAAGGAAAAAGAAAAAAGGAACAAATATAAGGAGAGAGAAATTTTTTCTCTCTGTAACTGCTAGGAAATAGAGAGAAAATCAGAAAAAAATCATTTTTTTAAAAAAAGAATGTGGCTATTTAATGGCAAATAAATATTAAAAAAATCTTTTTTGGCTAAATAATTTTAAATGGGCTATTTATTGCCAATAAAGTCTATAGGTTGTCATGCTATGCCATTTTTTCGGATGGGCCCGTGTCTAAACTTGCAATTTTTAATTTTTTAAATTTTAAAAAAATCTATGAGATACTTTAAGCTCTTTTGAAAAAATTAAATAAAAAAATTAAGTGCTAAATGTGAATAAGGTTTATAATTTAATTGTTAATAATTTAAAAAATTAAATATGTAAAAGTTATATACTTAATTGCCAATTTTGTTTGAAGTGGTAAAGACATTACATTTCTACCAAAAGATTCATAGTCATACTACAACATTAAAACGTTTGATAATGTCGCACTACCATTAATATATCTAATGTATTCGCACATATATTCATCAACCATAAAAGTTATGTAAAAAAGCGAACTACCGCTTGAGGTAAGTACAAATTTTGTGCATACTAAATTATAACTTTTTTGAATTGATCATAATCTTAATAATTAATAAATATAATTATCATATCGCTATATAATAGTAATTTAAATCGTGATTTGAAGACTTTGAATATACCAATAAAGTATAAAATAAAAACAAAGAAAAATAAGGCTCTAGTTTTCCTCTAGCTTGTACCAACGACACTCCTATATTCTTGAAGCGTGTACTATTATTTATTTCATAATTATTTTTTATCAATTACTTATACATATGTTTTTTTCCAAATTTAACTGCTACACGTAAACCTTAGTTGTGATTTATGATTTTATCTTTTTATTTTAATTTCCTATAACAATTTTAAATATATTTGTTGTTAATATTAAAAAAAAAAAGTATTTGACCTATTTATCCTTTGTATTCCTTTTCTGGTCCAATTTGTCCTTTATTTTCATTTGCACTTTCTCCGTCTCAGGCGGCTTTCCGGTCGTCGCTCACTTTTGTCTATCGGCACTTTAGTACTAAGTCCGCCGTCCTCCGCCCATCGATTCCAAATCATCGGGAAATGCAGCCCGTAAGTCCTCTAGAATCTCTAATTTCATTCAATACTCAGTTTTTCCCCTTAAAATACATTTGCCCTCATTATTTATTTTTATTTTTCAGCTATTACTCGTCTCGGAGGAATCTCAGTTTCTTCTTCGGATACTGAACGGGAGTTTTCAAACCCTAGACATCATTAAGGACCGCATTTTTCACCATTTTGCCAATTTATTCTGCTCGAAAGCGAATTTGGATGTTATTGACATGAGGTGTTTTTTCCATTATATACTTATGCCTATCGTCTTTTTTTTTTTTCCAATTCATTTTGCTTTAACAAATGTTGATATTTTATTTTTGTAATTTTATGTGTAGACAAGATAATGTAATGCATAGTGTGAACCGGGACGAGCTGGGATCCAAAGATTGGTCATCAAAGGGGAACAATTCGAATCCAGAAGGTGATTCGACAGCGGGTTTCAGTGTGTTGGATACAATGTTAAAGCGCAGTTTGGATCGTCTGAAGAGTATGAGGTTTGATTTGTATTTAGAGTCAGAATAGACTAGTTTTTGTGCCTTAAAGGGCAAATTATTTCTTTCTAGTTGTTGTATGATTGATGGTTTCAAGTGCATATGATTGCACATATCACAACGATTTGAATATGAGAATATTTCTGAAGTTTGAACATGGATATTAGGCAACTGTATAGTTGTCAATGTGAGTTCTCCTGGTGATTGATTGAGTTGATGTGCTAACTTACATGTGGGATCATTTGTTTTCTCCTGTCATTTCTTATGTGCCCTGCTTAAGCTGATCATTAAATAATACATTTTGAAGGATGGCAAATTTCTTAAACGAATTCACAAAGATGCTTAGCAAAATAATAATTTCCTAGTTCACAGAGTTTGCAAGTGAATATTGGGTTTCATATCCTTGATAATGCAAATGTAACAAGAATCATTTGTTTAAAATCTATGCTTTTTTGTTTCTTGTTCCTGTCACATGACTGTATCTCGCCTGATCATAAAGTGAGACCTTTGAAAAGAGTAACAAACTGATAATTAAGAAGAAATGACTTTTCCAGATTTACAATTTCCAGATTTACTTTCTAATATTGTCATAGTTTATTAGGACAATAACATTCATAAACTATATACTAGATGCAAACAAGTAATTTTGTTGGTTAAGTACTTGTCTACTGCACTGTAGCATTAGAGTAAATAAGTTAAAATATTCAGCATGAATTTAATTCCTCACTTGTGTTTTTTCCCTGCCAAAAGCTACCTTTGGATGTTATTAGCTTCCTCTGCAGTAGTTAAGTGGCTAAAGGAGTTAAACTCTAACAATGGGCTCTATCCACTTAAAGTCATGTCGATAAATCCAAAATGTAAAAGAAAGGATAATTCAGAGAACTAACATTACCAGCAGCTGTATATCAAATTCTTGAAGAAAGCATTCAAGGATGATCCCCTAGGAAATAAATCTGTAGTGGTGTCAATGTGATTGACTTTCTCAAGGGAAGTAATCCATTAGGTTGGATGCTAGTGAAAACATCAGCAACAATGTCAGCAACAATGTCATCCTGACTACTTTCCACGAGCTTTGGCTAGAGAGAGGAGGGCTCATGGAAGAGTTGTCCCCCCTCCCCTTTGCTGCTTGCATTGACTAGACTTTGTATTAAATATGCTTATGATGTCTAAACAACTGACTTGTTGTGTTTTTTCCATATAACTTTTTTTTAGTTCTGTATTGACGCTTAAGTCCACATTTCACCTTTTCTCATTTCTTTCGGAGGACAAGTCGTTAATGTGAGAGAAAATTTACTTTCTTTTGTTTTGTAATGTCAATGGAACTTTAACGTCTATCCAGTGCCTGTAGACTGTTTCTTGTTGAATTTGAGCCTGTTGGCTTCTTTTTAAAGTCCCTAATATCTTTAAAGGTAATTGCCCTGAACTTTGCAGGGAAAGAATATCGTCGGCTGAAGCAGGCATTGATTACTGCACCTGGGAAATAAATTTCAATAAAGATGCATATGTTGTTAGAGCCATGTGTCTGGATGGTCAACTGGGAGCAGCTTTATCGCTTTGGTGGAACATGATACAGAATAGTATTGTTCCTGATGTTATCACACACAATTACCTCATCAATGCACTCTGCAAAAACGGTGAGTTAGAGAAGGCAGAATGGATTGTTAGAGGTATGCTATATAGGGGTCCTTCTCCCACATGTGCTGCATTCAACTCTTTAATAAGAGGTTATTGCGTGGTGAATGATGTCGATAATGCTCTAAACACCTTTTCTACCATGGCCAACCATGGAATTGTACCAAACAGAGTAACTTGTAACATCCTTGTTCATGCGCTTTGTAAGAAGGGGCTGTTGGAGGAGGCAAAAAATCTTTTCCACAAATTATTAAGCAAAAGTCATAATGGGGGGAGCTCAAATTTGATTACATCAACCATTATGATGGATGGCTGCTTTAAAAATGGAGATACTGATCAAGCTCTTGCTTTTTGGGAGAGGATGTTATTAGAGCGTATCCAAGTTGATAAAGTTTCTTACAATGTTGTTGTCCATGGATTCTGTTTGAGCCATGACCTGGGCACTGCATATAAGTATTGTTGTGAAATGTTAAAACTTGGTTTTGTTCCAGATGTTTATTCTTACAACACTCTCATTGGAGCACTCTGTAGACAAGGAAAGATCAGTGATGCTTGTTATATCTACGATGTTATGACTGGAATGGGTGTCGTACCAGATCAAATCACGTACAGAATGATAATACAGGGGCTATGTATTAACAGGGAGATAGATAGAGCCAATTGTTTTCTTGATTACATGTTAGAGAATTCCATTATACCTGAACCACTTGTTTGGAATGTTATAATTAATGGTTATGGAAGATGTGGAGATATACAAAAAGCTTCATATATTAGAGAAAAAATGGTTGCATGTGGTGTTCTACCAAACATATATACATATAATGCATTAATTTATGCTCAGATAAAGTCAGGAAATCTTTCTGCAGCTCAGTCCTTGGAGAAGGAGTTGCTTTTATATGGTCTTACCCCTGATTCAGTCACTTACAATTTGTTGATTGGTGCTGCTTGTAATCTTGGCCTGATTCACTCAGCACTTCAACTACATGATAAAATGTTGAGAAAAGGTTGTCAGCCAGATGTAATTACTTACACGGAACTACTTAAGGTGTTTTGTGTACAAGGTATGATGAGAGAGGCAGACAAGCTCTTTGGCAAGTTAATGGCATCTGGTTTAGCAGTTGACCATGTTCCCTTTCTGGTACTCATGAAAAGATACTGCAGAATGGGAGAATTTAATAAAGTCTTTGACCTTCACCAAAAGTGGTTAGTGACAATGCCCAGATGAGATGTTTCCCCAAGAATTATTATGATGTTAAGGGCGACTCTAAATATATTTATTCCAGAAGAGAAAGCTACTCTGGTTTCTGCACCTAGTTGGCTTACAGATTTAATGTCCAGAAGCATTGGCCTAGTAGCAGCAGCTGTCTTTGTCTCCCGGAGGTATGTTTAGTTGCTGTTACCTTTGCATTGCACGTTGGATTCCCTTCACTGCATGTGAGATTGAACCTGGAAAACTCTGACATGGTCTGCATCTTATTCCAGGGTTTGACGTAGGACAACTTTCTGATGACAGATTTCGATGGCTTAAATGCTTTGGTTTCACATGTCGCGAGCTTGTTGTCAACTGAACGTGCTACGTAGCAACTTGCTTTGCCTAGGGAAAATATGGAAATGGAAACCAGTACCCCATCAACTTAAGGGCTATTGTATGTCTAAGAGGTTGGCTTCCAAGTTGAAGGTGTGCTTTCTAATTATTTCTAAAACAATAATTCTTCCCATATATCTTTATTCTCTTTTATCCAAGTAGTGATGTGTGTACTATCTGCACGAGATAATGCAAATTTACTCTACGGATCATGCAGATATTTGTCTAACTAATAAGTTTTGGAGAGATTTTGGATGACCTGCTCTTCAATAGCTATAAAAATGGATAAAAACACACACACAGAGAGTCAATTTGGTTGGTCTTTTTTAATTTCTTGCTCTGAGAAGATTAACATACTTGGTATGTAGTACATAACTAGTATTCTGTAGGAACTAGAAGATTAAAATTGATGGATCACACGAGGCCTCAATACAGGCTGTATCTTTGCCAGTTCTTCTGTCATGGAATATGTCAGTATTTGCAGTTATTGATATCAACCATTTAATTATTTATAGTATTGCAACCTTGTTCATTATGCTTACCTCATTCATGGTATGACTTGAATTCTCTAGGGTCTTAACCTCTGCTCTCAAATACATAATTCCCTGAGTCTACCTTAATCTCCTTTTCACTCTTTCATACCACGTAAGAGATACCATTGATGAAGAAACTGCATTTTATAGTGTTCTTACTCTGTGAAGGATATAAAACTCTTAAATTTGGAATTATTCGTCTTTATAGAAACCAGACTAAAAACTTGGCCTATCAGGTTGAAACTATTTGTCCTTTCCATTCTTGGTGCATCCTACTTATTTATACCAGACATCTCAAGTAGTCGTTGAACTCATACAAACAAAGCTATGTTGATGTTGATCCGAAAAAAGGACTCTTGTTGCTTTCAGCTTGTAATACGAACAAATTGTACATCATCTGAACTTATGTTTACTAGTTAATTGATCATTTATAGGTGATGAAGTTGTTCCTTATAGATATGGAGAGATGTCTATCTATGTCCTGTCTGCAGCTAGTTTCAGAATCTTGCACTAAGAAACTATGACGGGTATCTTTTGTGTTTCTCTTCTCAAAGTCGTTTTTTCGTGGCTTTGGAAGTGTTATGTATATTACTAGCCTCTTCTCCAGGCTAGATCATTACACAGTGCCATTTGAGATGCACGTGATCTGTAATTGGTTAAGTCCAAGGCTCAGACTTGAGGGTTCCAGATGATGAACTCCACAACGTTTTCATGTTCAAGTTGACCCCTGACAAGAACATGGGAATACGATTATACAGGAGAAGTACACGCGCAGTTTTTCATGTGGTTGATAGATGCCTTTGGTGAATGCTAGGACTTGGAAACATTCTACAAGATAAAGTTCTGGTTCTGGTTCTCTTATAATTTACTTGCGGACATCTTTATATGTTAACGTTTTTTCAAGAAAATTGTGCTTCTTCTGTCCAGTTTTATCTCTAATTTTAATCTAGCCAGTCATCTTTTTTTCTTAAAAGAAATACTACTATATCATGAATTTTAGTAGTGACTGATGTAAAATTTGGTTATACAAGCCATAGTTTATTAGTTGATTTGATTGGCACAACAAGTGTTCTGTATACTGAAGGAACCGTGGCATATATCTTACAGCATCAACTTAAGAATCGGAAAGAAGGGAAAAAGTTTCATGGTAAAATTGGCTCCTAAGGGTCCGTTTGGCATGTGATATGGAATCATAATTTAAGTTTAAGTTAATATGATTATGAAGTTAAAAGTCTTATTCGGACATGTAATTTTAATTTTTTAAGTTGTCTTTTTTTTCTCATAAACATAAATACAACCAAAAAAAATTTCAATCTTAACAAATAAGCCATCATACTTCATAAATAAGATTTCAAAATATTGTAAGACAATGAATTGTGAAATCACATATCTCCATATTCTTTATATAATTAAATGATTGTAATTACGTATCTTTTAAATACACATGCTTAATCACTAGTCAATGCCAAACATTGATTTTTTTTTGTAAGATTTAAATGGTAGATTTTTTTTTTCAAATATAAATTTATAAGATCAAATTATAATTTAAAATCTCAAATCATGCTCTATTTTTTTTCACTGATTTGAAATATGATTCAAACTATTATTATATGGAATTGCATGTCCAATGCAGGCTAAATATTTATTTATAATATTCAACTTCAAAAATAACAACTGAGGAAAAACCGGATTTGACCCAAAAGACCAAAAATAACAAAAACAGGACCGGCAATTTTTAGGGTTTAAGAAACGCCCATCTTCTTGCAGGATTTAAGAAAGGCCTCGTTTTGAGCTACTCTCGCCATTGTCTTCGTTCTTACACTCTCTGCAAGTACTGCATAGCCATGAATTACAGGTTCCAGAATCTCCTCGGAGCTCCTTACAGAGGCGGCAACGCTTTAGTAGTGAACAATAGTCTTCTTATCTCCCCTATCGGTAACCGTGTTGCCGTCACTGACCTCATCAAATCCGAAACTATTACATTGCCTTCACAGTCCTCCACCAATCTCCGCCGCATCGCCGCCTCTCCTGATGGCGTATTCCTCCTCGCTATCGACGAAAACAACCGTTGCCTCTTTATCAACCTCCTCCGCCGCGCCGTCCTCCATCGCATCACCTTCAAGCATCCTGTGGCGGCTGCCAAGTTTAGCCCCGATGGACAACTTATTGCGGTTGCCGCCGGTAAGCTCCTGCAAATTTGGCGCTCACCTGGTTTTAGAAAAGAGTTCTTTCCGTTTGAGTTGATCAGGACGTTTACTGATTGTAATGATAGAATTACGTCACTAGATTGGAGCCCAGATTCTGGTTATGTGTTGGCGGGGTCTAAAGACCTAACTGCTAGGCTTTTTTGTTTGAAAAAATCAACTAAATATATCAAGCCGTTTCTATTTTTAGGCCATAGGGATGTGATTGTAGGTGCTTTCTTTGGAACTGATAAGAAAACTAATAAGGTTTGTAGAGTTTATACCATATCCCGAGATGGTGCCATTTTTAGCTGGGGATATAGTGAAATGGATGGAAATTTTGATGAACCATCACTTGCTTCAGAGCCAGAATCACCAGGTACACCAGAGCAAGGGCAAGGGAACAATGCAGAAGGTGATAGTGATAGCAGGGTCAAAAAAAGAAAGAACTTTGATGGGAAAGATGATACATTGGACCTAGATGATAGGTTTCAGTTGCACAAACTGAAATGGGAGTTGATAAAGAAAGACTTCTTCATGCAAGCACCAGCAAAGTTAACAGCTTGTGATTATCATAGGGGTCTTGATATGGCTGTAGTTGGTTTTTCTAATGGCATTTTTGGGCTTTATCAAATGCCTGATTTTGTGTGCATTCACTTGTTGTCCATCTCGAGAGAGAAGATAACTACGGCTGTTTTTAATGATCTTGGGAATTGGTTGACATTCGGATGTGCAAGGCTTGGACAGTTGCTTGTATGGGAGTGGAAGTCAGAGAGTTACATACTGAAGCAACAGGGACACTATTTTGATGTAAACTGCCTTGCATATTCACCAGATTCTCAGCTCGTTGCCACAGGAGCAGATGACAACAAAATTAAGGTAAGAGGATTTAGAGTTGCTTTTATGTGAACTAGTTTATGCAAGTTGACTAAAGGTTTTCAGAAGTAGTAATTATGACCACTTAGGCAAAACTTGGAAGTTTGCATCTATTTCAGTTCTGCTAGGGACACCATAGTTATAAGCTCATGTAGAGTTCAATACATCAAGTTACTGAAGCAACTGTTTCTTACCGGTTATAATTTGAAATTTTTTATACTGGATGACTTTGTATCTATTGTAGATTGCTGGATGCCTCCCTTTTTACCTAATAATTACCACTTCTCCGGAAAAAAAAAAGTTCCCATTTTTCCGCATCTTCATTTTCAGTTAACATTGGTATTCGCTAAAGCAGAAAAACTCATTGTCTATGTTTTGCAGGTCTGGACTGTTTCATCCGGTTTCTGCTTTGTAACATTCTCCGAGCACACAAATGCAGTTACAGCACTCCATTTCATGCCTGGCAACCACTGTCTCTTAAGCGCCTCTTTGGATGGGACAGTTCGTGCATGGGATCTCTTGAGATATAGAAACTTTAAAACTTTTACTACCCCTACATCTAAGCAATTTGTTTCTTTAGCAGCTGATCAGAGTGGTGAAGTGATATGTGCCGGAACCCTTGACTCATTTGAGGTAGTGCAGTTCTGATTGTATTTTGATCATATCTTGTACCATCATTTGTTGTTAATTGATTATAATACTAATTTCTACTTCGCTGTTGATACAAATATACTATCTTTGTTTTTCTTCATAGATTTTCGTCTGGTCAATGAAGACGGGCAGATTGCTAGACATTCTTAGCGGTCACGAGGGTCCTGTTCATGGGCTAGTATTTTCTCCGACTAATGTGAGTCTTTATCTAATTTTTAAGATTCCCGAAATAATTTAAGTCAGGTTTCTTCCCTTTTTCAATCCTCTACACTGGCATTGACAACATTATACTAAAGCTTCATAAATCAATATAGTCAAACAATTTTGTAGAGCTTGGTTAACTTTTTCTGGTTTTCTATAGGCTACTTTGGCTTCCTCATCATGGGACAAAACTGTCCGCTTGTGGGATGTTTTTGATGGAAAAGGAGCAGTTGAAACATTTCCTCACACTCATGATGTCCTCACGGTTGTTTATCGTCCTGATGGCAAGCAGCTGGCATGTAGCACCCTGGATGGACATATTCATTTCTGGGATCCAATTGAGGGTCTGCTGATGTACACAATTGAAGGCCGTAGGGATATTGCAGGTGGACGTCTCATGACTGATCGTCGATCAGCAGCTAACTCGACATCTGGGAAGTGCTTCACAACTTTGTGTTATTCCGCTGATGGGAGCTATATATTAGCTGGTGGAAATAGTAAATATATTTGTATGTATGATGTTGCTGATCAGGTCTGTGGCTTCTTTCAATGCTACGTATTATTGCTTAGGAATGCTGGTATTACATATAATGTGTGCTCTTGGTGAATTACGATTCTCTCCTAATTAGTAATATGCTTTTATGTGACATAAAAAATAACACTTTTTATTGATTGCATTCATTCTCTCTTTTGATTTGGTGGTGAGTTAGTTTCATCTTCATCTCGTAAGTGGGTTTGTTTTGAACTTGAACTCAAAAGTTTGTAAATTCTTTGATTATATGTTGCTCTTTGAGTGTACTTGGTGTTTACAGTAAAATGAACTATAGTTTACATTAGTTAAATAAGGTCGAAAGCAGAAAATATGTTTTTGTAGAATGAAAGAAATGGGTATTCGTGAAAGAGAAAACAAAAAGAGATGGATCTCTCTAGTGGAGCTTCATATCACAGTACTCTTTCTTTAGCTGAGGTGCCATTGAATTGGTATATCTACAATCCATTATTTTGGCCATTTCACTGACCCAATACATAATTGTGTTGTGATTTGCTATGCGATGGCACTCATCAGGTTACAGTAGATGAGTAGAATATTTTTGTACTAAAGTATGACTTTGTTGATTAATGATAATTGCATCACGCATGGTTGAACAAATACCTAATTAATTGGTAGAAAATGAATTATGTGATACACAAAAGTCAATACCTCCTGTAATCTTGGGCATCTTTATCAGTATCCCCTGCTGCAACTAGATAAGCAAACAAGTAGATAATTCCCCTTGGAACCATTTTGGTAATGTTCTCAAATAATGAATAAGAGCACATGGGATAGTTCTTTATATTTTTTCTGGTCATGGGAAAAAATGGCAGACAATATAGCCAATTGAAAAAAATGCAAATTGGCTCTTTTGTAACATATTCTTTCGGTAGTTTAAGTTGGATTCCTTTAATTTACTTTGTGTATTGTATCTCCTACATTCTAAATCCTAGAAACTGTGAATAAGTGAAAAACATGAACAGTGTTGGCTTCTTTTATAAGAACCTGCACTTGAGATGCTTAATTATTTTCCATGTACTTGAGCTACTGGTGAATAGTTAAACAGGGGGAATGGTTCTGATCTTCTTCCTAGGAAAATTCTGGGGTTTGTAGTTATTGGGTGGTACTGGTGAATGAGTTTTACAGGGACTCCACTGATCAAACTTAAAACACATGTTAGCTCTTGTTAGATTTACATTATTGTATAATTAACAGTGATGACCTCGTAAAAGTTGGTCTGTTTGTTCTTGGAGATAGTCTTTGTAGTCATCATGATGTTCACAGTAACGCAACACTTCCTTCTTCACATCAGTGCTCTAAAAATCAGAAAGCTTGAGAATCATTATAATGTTCTAATAGTTGATGGTTTGTGTACAACTATGAAAAGTTTTCTCCCTACACTAGTGATTAGAGATGGATGGAATCTTCCCTTATACATTTCCTTATTTGGTCCCACTGTTTTCTAGCCGATTTGGTATTTTTGTGCCATGAAGCTGTAAAATTTATTCTCTTGCTTTCGAGTGCATCATTGCTTGACCAAAAGAAGAAAACATATTGCCTTGCAGGTGTTGCTGCGTCGCTTCCAGATAACCCACAATCTTTCCTTGGATGGGGTGCTGGATGTTTTGAACTCTAAAAACATGACAGAGAGTGGTCCACTCAATCTGATTGATGATGATAATAGTGACACTGAAGAAGGTGTTGATAAGCAAGTGAGAAATAAATTGGCATATGACTTGCCCGGGTCAATGCCCAACCATGGAAGAGCAGTTATTCGAACAAAATGCTTGAGAATTGCCCCGACTGGCAGGAGTTGGGCAGCTGCAACTACAGAAGGGGTCTTGATTTATTCTATGGATGAGTCTTTTATCTTTGACCCGACTGATCTAGACATAGATCTTACACCAGAAGTAAGCCCTTGTTTAATTAGAATAAAGTCCTGAAACCCAGGAATTGGTTATGGAATGAGATTGAAGGAAGTAACTTTTAGATTTCTTGTTTCTTGACTTTTCCAAATTTAAAAACATCATGGCATCTGTGCATAGACACATTTCCATACGCTTATGTATGTACTTTGTTTTACAGGCTGTTGATGCAGCACTAAAGGAAAATCAGACTAGTCGAGCAGTGATTCTTAGTCTACGTTTAAATGAAGATAGTTTGATTAAGAAGTGCATTATTGGTGTCAGTCCTGCAGATATACCAGCTGTAGCATCCTCAGTCCCTGTTAAATATATTCAGAGATTAGTTGAGGCATTAGCATCTCTGCTGGAGAACTGCCCACACATGGAGTTTATCCTCAGATGGTGTCAGGTTTCCTATCAAATACAACCTCCTCTTTGCTCTTTCTTACCTTGACAAGTGTTGTACACATTTGTCAGCTTTTAATCCTTTTGCATGTCTGGTAGGAACTTTGCAAAATCCACGGCAATTCTATTCAGCAGAAATCCAGAAGCTTGCTTCCTGCTCTAAAATCCTTACAGAAGGCAATTACCAGGTTGCATCAAGATTTGGCTGATACATGCAACTCTAATGAATATATGCTCCGATATTTGTGTTCTGCAAGTGATGCAAAGTGACAGTTCTCTTTGCGTTGTTGCTCTTTGGTAAGCTCTTTCTAAATTCTAGGATTTTTGCTTTTGTTCGTCAACTAGTGTAGGATGTTTATGACAATTGCTTTTATGAAGTACTATAGCTTTAGAAACCTCAATTTTGAGAATGCTCACTAGTTTCAGGATATTTCAATAGCTTATATATGATTTCATTTGCCTCCTGTCCAGTTGTTTGGCCAATCTCGATGCTTCCTGAATCTTTCTGTTGGTGTCATTGAAACCACTGTGAACATGTTCTAGTGACGTATTGCAGGACTACGTTGGAAATCTGGTTGTAACAATTTGATTATGCTTCCCAGAGTTAAGTGACGTGAAGACAACCAGTTCCACACTATTGTCTTATACCGGAGACAGATGCATGTATCTGGGTGGGAGAATAATTGAGGCTCACAATTCATCCACTATTGCAAAATCAAGCTTCAGACAATGATGCTTACTCAACCGTGAACCGTTCATTGGACCTACATGGTAAGCACATTAATTCTGTCTTAGAAGATGGTCTGAGTTACTACCAGCTTGCCTAAGCAGTCTCATTTTTTTGGTTTTAGTTAGAAATGAAAATTTTGGGCATTGTATTTGTATGCCATTTTTTGTTTTTGGTTTAGATGTGGAAGTTTTGGTTTTCAAGTTTAGGATGTGGAATGAGTCATTGTATACTAGATTAGGGCACTTCTTGAAATGCCCAAGTTAATTCAAAATCTTATTTATTCATTCTCGTTTATGAGCTAACTAAAGCAATCTCGTTTCTTTAAGGCAAATAACATCTATGAGTCATTCCCTTTTGGACTACTCCCTCCATTCGGATTTACTTATCTAATATTTCCTAATTTGATTTCTTTTTACTTGCCATTTTTGACAAATCAAGAAATAATAATAAAAAATTGCTCTATTAGACCCTCAATTTATTAACATTGAGTTAAAGTCTTCGAAAAATGAAGTGCATAAATATGTTTGGGATTCTATTAATTAAGAGGGGTAAAATAGTAATTTATTATATTAATTATTGTTTTCTTAATAGGTGTGTCAAGTCAAAATTTGACAGTAACTTGAGGTCCATAAGTGATCACAGTTTATTTTTATTTGATTCAAATGGCTGAATCATCGGGTAAAACTGTAGTAACAATAACTGCGACAAACTGTAGTAATATAATATACTACAACATTATTGTAATCTACGAAAGGAGTCCGAAAAGAGCAGAGTATATATGTAATTTATAAATGGAGTTTGAAGAGACGATATAAATTTGAGTTTATACTCTGATCTTCTATATACTTCAAAATTTTGACGGTACAAAATTCAAAGCAATTATCAGTTGACCTTGGGACCACTAAGATGAAATTTTTAGTGCAAAAAATACGTAGTGAACAAATCTAAAATCAAAAGAAAACAACAATTAGTGTCTTCAGTAAAAACAATAGAATAAAAGAAAATATAATTATAGAAATGTTACTTTAATTTTTTGATAATCATGATTTTCAGACCAATTAATATGTTTATTTCGATAAATATCTTTTGAAAAGATAAGTTACTAATATTTTGAGTCGAGAGCAGGGCCGGCTCTATGCTTCCTTGAATAAGGCATTGGCCTTAGGCCCCAATTTTAGGGGGCCTCAATTTCTTAACAATAATAAATTATGTGTTGATTTTTTTTATAGAAAAGATTAATTATTTATGATAAAATATATATTTTTTAAAACAATATTTTATTCTCTTTAATCTCATTTAAATAGAAGAAATCAAAAAAATTGTTTTATTTTCTTACATTCTCTATGCTAATATTCACATTATTTTATTCTTTTTAATTCCTTTTACACTCTTTTCTTTAAATTTTTGATAAGTTAGAGTAATATTCTATCAAAAATATGAATCAATAGTCGAAAAGTGTTGAACAAAGTGAATTATAAATTCTTTTTCTATTCTTAGATTTTCAAGCATTACAACAAGCATAGTAAAATGTGGGGTATACAAAATTAGCAACTTCTTGAATCAAATTCTATGTTAACAATTCATATAATAATTGTCCGAGTAAGAAAATGTTTTTCAATGTTGAATTGATAAAATTTTATCTAAAGCTAATAATTGAAAAAGGAATCGAATAAATCATTTATAAAAAACTATTAAGTATACTTTGCATTTAAAAGTGTAAGATTTTTTTTTTTTAAAAAAATTAATACATATGAAGTTTATTTAGATTTTCGGCCTTTAGTTGAAATTTCGCTTTAGGCCTCTGATTGCGTTGAGCTGCCCCTAGTCGAGAGTCTATTGAATTTCTTTTACCTTCGTAAGGTAAGAATAACTATGGTGTATACAATATCTTTCTAAAATCTTATTTGTAAAAGTTGCACTTATATATTATTATTATAAAGTTATTTCTGCTCGAATTTAACTGTCGTTTTAACTAAATATCTTATCACTCATTTAATTCTACCTTATCATAAGATACACCAATCTTGTTTACTTAATTTTTATTATGTCCGTCTATCACATATTATAAATAGATGTCTACTTTTGTTCCTCCAATTTAGTAGTAATTATCTTATAATTTATTATTTAGGAATAGTTTCTAATTTATCTTTGTGATTCCCTCTGATTAAAAAATAGACCTACTTTTTTTTTAGTTTGTTTAAAAAAATGAACCTTTTCTTTTTTATAACACTTTAATTTCAGTTTTACGTAACATGTTCAAGACTACAAAAAATTAAAAGACATTTTATTATATTTAACATAACTTTAATTCTAAATTACAAGATTGAAAAGTCTTCTATATTTATTTTTTTAAAATTTCGTGCCAATCAAACTTGATTATTTTTTCTGAGACGGAAAGAATATTAACTATAGTCAATTTTTAGAACATTTTAATTTATTATATTCCAAAAGTAATGAAACAAAATGATACTCATTCAATTTATCCTTTTTAAAAATATATCAAATCAATATTGAACACTTAAAAATAGACTAACGGAGTATGAATTATGTTGAGCCAACCCCACACATTACGGAAATAATAATAATAAGTAAAAGAAGCCTAGATTTGATACGGTGGAATCGAAACCATCCGAACTTTCTTACATTTTCGACCAAAACACGCAGACACCTACTAGCAGTTTCTAGAACAAACTAAATCTCACCGCCCCATTCCTATTCTCCCACCGAACCTCTCTTTATATCATTCTTCACCATCATTTTTCCACCAACATATTCCAATCTCGCCGGCGTAGTTTTACTGTTTTGAGAAATTGTTATCTACTTTTGGTTCAGGCATTTTCACAAACAGTTTTTGCAAATGGAAGAAGACGGTGCCGTTACAGTGTACAGTGGCAGCGCCATTACTGATACCAAGAAGAATACGTTCTCGATCAAAGTTGGAATTGCTCAAATGCTTAGAGGAGGAGCGATTGCGGAGGTTACCACCGTCAACCAAGCGAAGATTGCCGAGTCGGCCGGAGTTTGTTGTCTTGTAGTTTCGGAGCCTAAAGGACCCGGAATCTCGCGTATGCCCGACCCGTCTCTAATCAAGGAGATCAAGCAGGCAGTTGCGCTTCCTGTAATGGCGAAAGCCCGTGTCGGTCATTTTGTTGAAGCCCAGATCCTTGAAGCTATTGGAGTTGATTATATAGATGAGAGCGAGACTTTAGCACTAGCAGACGAAGATCATTTCGTCAACAAACATAATTTCCGGGCACCCTTTGTCTGTGGATGTCGAGATCTTGGAGAAGCGTTAAGGAGAGTCAGAGAAGGCGCTGCCATGGTTAGGACCCAAGGGGATCTAGCGGGTACGGGCAGTATAGTTGATACAGTCCACAATGTGAGGAAAGTGATGGGAGATATTAGAATTCTATCAAACATGGATGATGATGAGGTCTTCACTTTCTCAAAGAAGATCGGTGCACCTTATGATATTGTTGCACAGACGAAGCAGATGGGTAGGCTCCCTGTGGTTCATTTTGCTGCTGGTGGAATCGTCACGCCTGCAGATGCAGCGTTCATGATGCAGCTGGGTTGTGATGGTGTGTTTATTGGTTCGGATATATTCAATTGCTCTGATCCTTACAAGAAAGTTAGGGCAATTGTGCAGGCTGTCAGGAACTATAACGATCCCCATATTTTGGCCGCGGCTAGCAGTGGTTTGGAGGAAGCAATGGGCGGTCTAAATCTGAACGAAAACAGGGTCGAGCGATTTGTTAGTGATGAGACCTACTGATGAGATCAAGTTGAGTCTGTTTTTGTGTCTGTTGTTGATCATAGTATCATGTATTTTGCAGTTCAGCTTTTGTGAACAATATCTTTTCTTGGTTTTGCTTTTGCAATAACTTGATGATGAGTTTAACATACCATGTTTTAGGCTTGTTTACATGCTTGTGGCATCAGAAGAAAATGGCAACATTGACTTGAAATGACTCTGGATATTACAATATTGTGAAGGCATGTTGATCAATTTGTTTAGATATTGTTTACATGTTTATAGTTGTGTGTTGTAATGAATATAGAGACGACGGATGATCAAATCGAATCCAGTCAATTCTTGCATTTGGATGTATTGGCTAAATAATTGCTATCATAATGAACGAATGATCAGTATTTCAGAGCCCTACTCAGGATGTTTTCTCTTTCAACAACATGATGCATATTAAAGAAGTTCTTTAGTCCTGTTTTATAATTGCATTTTCAGATTGGACATTTGTATGATCATTGTCATTGTGGCTTGCAAAGGAACCTCAGTGCAGTTTCATAGGCAGTGAATATAGCCCCATTCACTATGAATGCTCTGCCAACTGTAGTTCCCACGCCTCGCCAAAGCACACCATATCCCTCTGTTCTTACACTTTGCCTGAAGCAATCAACAATACCATGGTATTTTGCAGTTTTAGACTGTGATTGAGCTTGGAGTCTGGTCTTAACAACATCTAAGGGGTAGCAGCTTATCCAGCTAACAGACCCTGCAAGACCACCTGCTAGGAGCATTGTTTGGAAGCTCTCGTGGCCATTCTTGCGACAGCCAGGATGAAGTTGCTCCTTAGTATACTCATATACCCAGAAATATAGACCGTGAGAGTGTGCATCTCTGAGGACAGTAACAGTTAATCCTCGGTAGATTCCTCTCAAACCTGCCTGTTTGACAATTCTTCTTGTGACATCTCTTGGACCCTTGAGTCTAGTTACTTGATTGTTGCATTGATTGGTCCTGCTTTGCAATTGTAGTTGGATTTTCACCAGTTCTACAGGGCTGATAATTAGGCTCTGAATTGCTCCTGCTGCAATGCCACCCAAAGCCACTCCTTTGTATGAGGGTGGATCGCTTGCTAGGATCTGTCTGTCAAATGTTCGGGATAGCATTGCGTAGATCTGAAATACCATGGCATTCTGCAATAGGGAGCAAACTAGTGTTTTGATATTGTAGGAATGAACTTTGAAACTTTGATTTGATACGATATTTGCCAAAAGTAGGAATCTACTTTATTTTTGCCTTATGATTCCGATGATTCCTTCAAATCAAGTGTACATTTATATATTTAATCTCATAAATCATCGCGATAACAGAAAATCATATCCATATTCTATAACAGAAGTTGTGTAAATGGAGGAATACAACAATGACCTGAAAAGTGACGGATGCTAGAGGAGCCGCCATGCCCCTGTAGAGAGACAGGGGGCCTTCTTTGGCGACTACATGGCGGAAAACGTTGAAAGCAGAACCACTCTTCGAATTTTGCTGGCGAACTCTGATGCTGTCGAGTGGATAACCAGAAATGAGACCAGCTATTCCTCCAAATCCACCAGCCACAAAATCTTTTCCCCAACTACTTGCAAGAAACTCTGGCCAAAAATCCATGCCCCCTTCATCCCCAAGACCCCACCCACAAATACCTTACTTCCTCCTTCAAATCTATTTAATATTTTTTTTCTCTTCTGGACAGCAATCAATGTGTTTTCCCAATTTTGCTAGTATAAGAAACGACCTCTCCTTGAATATCTCTGTAATACAAAAATTGACCTCTGCTTAAATATGTGTGATATAAAAAAATGCATTGCACCTTTCTGTTTGGTAGTTAAAGAGATGAGGCCTTGAATCTTGAAAATGTGCGACATTGCAACCTGATTTTCTTTTAGTGCCACCAAATACCAATGGTATTTTGTTGGTAGAGGCCTACTAAATGAAGCGGCCAGCCACCTCTTTCTTAGGAAATCCACTATTATACCACCTGTAACAAATACAATCAAGGTTAGCAGAGCTGGCAAATTTTGAACGTCCAATTTAAAAATATTTTATCATTCTTAATTTTGCATGTCATTTCTTAATGATCGTAAGTTGAAAATCAATCAGAAAATTTTGCAATTGATAACCAGCTACGAAGTAAGTTATATGAGGACTGTAAAGTTGGCTGAAAAATAACTTGAGAGAGACTTTCGTTTCTTTAACGAGGGTAAGAGCCCAAGCTGATAGTTTTGACCTGAAAAATATCCCCAAGACTGCTCTTTCAAATAAACAAATGGATAACTTCCTTAGACTAAATCCAACAACAACATATACTCATTGTAGACGGTAGTGCAATCTGGTGAGGGTAGAGTATATGCAGATCTTACCCTACGTCATAGAGATGGAGAAGATGTTTCCGATAGATCCTTCTCTTGTATGTAAAACTAAATCATAAAAAGTGGTATATTTGGAGTAATCCAAAACAGCAGAATGACCCAGTCAACTGTTAAAAATTCTTAGTAATCAATTATACAAGAAGTTTCCACTTAAAAGAGGGTGACAGGTTTGAAATTTAAAGCAAATAGAAAAAAACCTGGTCAACAAAAGAAATCAAAGCCAACAGCATGCTTGTCTCTGTTTTGGTCATTCTATTTTGACTGAAAACATTCATGTGTGGATTAGAGAGCTTCTCTCATATGGCTACCTACAGAATTCTAATTGCTTTCATCCTCGTGTTATCCTGTCACTTTTTGCGTGCAGATTTTGCTAATTTCAACTCAATATTGAAGGGAGAAAGTTTAGCTGATTACCAACAGCTGGTCTCAGCAAATGGCTTCTTCAAAATGCAATTTTTCAGTCCAGGCAAGTCAAGGAACCGCTACTTGGGTATATTTTACACTCGGCCAAGTCTTGATATGTACTCTGATGTTAACGGAGGAGGAGATGAAAAAGCTTTATGGATAGCTAACAGAGACGATCCGATAACGGATACATCTGGAAGTCTTATGATAGCTCCTGATGGCAGATTAATAATTTCTCATAAAGAAGGTAATGTTACTTTGTTCAGTGCTACACCAACAACAGCCACTAACTTAACTGCTATACTACTCGAAAATGGGAATTTTGTGCTGAGGGAACTGAATACCAATAGCTTGGTAAATCGAAAGCTGTGGCAAAGCTTTGATTATCCAACTGATACACTTCTGCCTGGAATGAAGCTTGGGATTAACTTGCGAACGGGGCATAAATGGTCACTGACTTCATGGGTAAATGATCAAGCACCTGCTTCAGGGTCTTTTACCTTTGGTCTTGACCCTAATGGTACAAATCAGCTGATGATCTTGTGGATGGGAAAGGTCTATTGGAAGAGTGGCCCGTGGCCTACTGGCCATCTTGCTCTTAAATATGTCTCAAATGAGGATGAGAAATACTTTATGTATACTGTTGAATTGGAATATCAAAGATACTTTGTGAGTCCATTTGGAATAATTCAGGGTGATTTTAAAGGAAATGCAGCGTTTGGTAATTGTAGTAATGAGACTCCCCATGCTGGCTGCGTAAAGCAGGTATTGCCCCAGTGCAGGACAGCTAAAAAGTACTGGTTTGAGCTTAGACAAGTTTACATGTTTGGAGACAGCGTTAAATTTGATGAGAACTATACTTTGAGCCTCTCTGATTGCAAGGCCAAGTGTGAGAATGACTGCTCGTGTGTTGCCTATGCCTCAGTCGATAGTGACACCGGAATTGGCTGTCAAATTTGGGGGAATGACACGAGTTTTGTGACAGCACAAAACAGTCTAGCCAGAGATGTTTTCTTTCTTACAAGAAAAGGTAATTCTTGAGTACAAAGTTATTCAATAGAGTGAGAGGACATGTTAATAATGTTGCATCTCATATTATGATTACTTTATCCAGCTCAAGATAAATTGTTTTGTGAGGGTATCACACTAATATCACCAATCTGCATTACTCTCATTTGCACGTCATTCAAAAAATTACTAGTACTCGAACAAGCAATTTTCTCCGATCGCGATGCTGCAGGATTTGAGTTAATAAGAGTGTCATCTTCATTTCAAAAATACACTCGAGCAAATGAACAACCATACCATAGAGAATCTTGTTTTGGAGGCTATTAAATTATTATTTTTTGGTATTTCTAGAATACCGACAATTATGATAGCATCATAGTGTATTCCCAAGGTAAATATGTGGAATTTTGGTCATAAACACTGACTTGCAATTTTGACAGATAGGAAGCGGAAATGGTGGATATGGTTGACAATAGCAGTGTCCCTAATGGTATTTGGGTTTATTTGCTCCTTATTCTGTCTGATACGAGGAAAACTCAGAGCAAGAGGTGAGCAATACATCTGCTCTAGCATTAGTCTAAGGTGACACTTATTTGTCTTTGAAATCTTCAATTTTGCATTTGTCACCTAGGCAAAGTCAGACAAATGGAGAAAATATTATACGAGCTTGAAGATCCTAAGACCATTTCTGGCCAGTACAATACTAACAAGACTGCTAGACTAAGGAAGAAGTTCAGGCATGATATACACATATTCAGCCTAGAAACTATGAATATGGCCACAAACAATTTCTCGTCTTCCAATAAGTTGGGACAGGGCGGTTATGGACCTGTTTATAAGGTAAAAGTTTAGAAGCTTTTTGTCTTAAGCTGATTTTTAGATTTGCTAAGTAGCAAAAATTTCAGGGGATGTTTCTCGACGGGCAAGAGATAGCCATCAAGAGACTTTCAAGAAGTTCAGGGCAAGGATTGGTTGAGTTTCAAAACGAAATTGTGCTGATTGCTAAACTCCAGCACACTAATCTTGTCAGACTTTTAGGATGTTGCATTGAAGGGGAAGAGAAGATATTAGTTTATGAATACATGATGAACAAAAGCTTAGACTTCTTCCTATTTGGTATGGATTTCCAATTTCATGCCTAAATTGCTTAATTAATCATATTTGATAACTAATACCCCTTCCCATTTTGATTGAACAGATCCTAGCAGAAAAGATTCACTAAAATGGAATACGCGTATGAACATTATTGAAGGAGTTGCTCAGGGACTACTTTATCTCCATAAGTATTCAAGGCTGAGGGTGATTCACAGAGATCTAAAAGCCAGCAATGTCTTGCTTGATGACAATATGAACCCCAAAATCTCAGATTTTGGGTTGGCCAGGATATTTGGAATGCAAGAATTTGAAGCAAACACGGAGCGAATTGTTGGTACCTAGTAAGTCCTTGATAGATATAATTATCTAACAATGGTGATTCACTGTGTCCTTTTTATTATGTGCTAAGTTGCTACCTTTTCAGTGGTTATATGTCTCCAGAATATGCCATGAATGGCATTGTGTCCATGAAGACAGATGTATTCAGTTTTGGAGTTCTAGTACTCGAGATTTTGAGTGGCAAAAGAAACAACAGCTGCTATCATTTAGAACGCCCACTAAACCTCATCGGATATGTAAGTTCCTCTCGTAAAATATCAATATAGCATGATCAAGAGGCGGATGGAGTGTTTATTCAATGAATTCAACTAAACCCAATACTTTAGAAACAAAACATAAATATACAACATCAACATACCCATTGGAATCCCACAGGCCACAAGTTGGGTCTGGGAGGGCGGTGTGCACACAGACTTACCTACCTAGTAAAGGCAGATAGGCTGTTTTCAATAGACCCTCGACTCAAGACACGAAACATTGAGCTACATGTGAAAATCACTTGAATTATAAAATTCTGAAGTATAATGAGTCTAGTTCTAAAAACTTTAAAGGTTCAACCTGTCAACTTTACATTGTTTTGGATCCGCCCTGGCATGATCACTGAGTTGAACAAGGAAATTTCAAACTTGATATGCTCAATTTGTCTCAGGCATGGGAATTGTGGAAAGCAGGCAGCGTCCTTGAAGAACTAACAGATCCTGTATTGACAAATGAATCAACACCAACGAACGAAGTGATGAGATGCATTCATGTAGGATTACTCTGTGTTCAAGTCAATCCTATGGACAGGCCATCCATGTCAAATGTGGTTATGATGCTCACAAATGATAGCCTACAACTACCCGTCCCCAAGCAACCAGCATTTTTCATTGAGACAGCTATGACTGAGACTGAAACTCGCGAAGAAGTTGGACATTGTTCCACAAATGGGCTATCAATTTCAGATATGGTAGCGAGATGACTTTCATCATTGCACCCCTCAAAATTGTAAAAAATGGTAATATGCAATCTCCCTAATGATAAAAAATAAAAACCACTGCTTGTCTCCTTCATCCAGATTTTACTTTATCTAGCGTCGATATTAAGTATGAGTTGTTGACAAAATAAAGTAAGCTTGTTAGAGCCTTTTGAAGATTATACTGTGTCTAAACAATTTTTACACATTTGTTTTGAATGCAAATGAGTTTTCAGAGTATCAATTGTTACTGAAATCAGAACTCATAAATGTAGTAATTGTTACTAGTTTTGCAAAGATGATTAGTATCTGTACACTAGAAATCAAATAGATGTTTCCCACGTTCCTTTGTTGCTTGTCCAAACTATACTGCGTAAAAATAGTTAGACGCATGCAAATGAACCTCCTACACACTTTCTTGGTTGTATGAGACTTGCCTAGTGCAATT